GAGTTTATAAACACCTTGGAATTTTCTGATCTGGTATGAAATAGCTGGTCCCAAATCACTCCATATTTACAAACAAGTGAGCTGAAGTTTTTATTTACCACCATGGTGAGATGGTGGTGAAATCTGTGTGTCTTTAAAGAAGTGAGTAGTACAGAATAAGAAATGAAGTACAGAATAAGAAATGAAGTACAGAATAAAAACTGCAGTACAGCAAGGCATTTAAAAGAAAAAATTAAAAAGAAATTTAAAAAGTCAATCTGCCAGTCCAGACTAGCCATTCCCATCTCTTCCTGGGCCCTAAAAATGTTTGCAACTCCAGACACTATGAGGCATCTCTGTATTTTTGGTTTTCCTGGCATTTTGTTCTCTGGGGATTCCAGTGTGAGTTACCCAGCACTTTGTGACACTCGCAAACAGATTTCCTCACTAGATAATGCTGTGTTTGGGGTTTTTAAGCAACATTTTTAAGTTTAGGTTATGACAAGAATGATGGGATACGCAAATTCGTTTGTTACAATATTGAGTGTAAACTTCCTATTTCAGGCTTGAGAAGCTCCAGGGATAATTAAAAAAAGCCATTTTTGTGTTCTGTAATGTCTGGCACGAGGTTGAAACCTTTAACTAGGGGACAGGTCAAACAGGAAGGCACCAGCTACCTGATGGGGTTTTCTTTAATTATTGATTTATTGTAAGGGAACAGGTAGTTGGGTGTGATTAAAATCTATTTGCAATGCAACTTTATGATTAAGGAAAAAAAAGTGGAAGAATGCACATGGGAATGATGTGTGTTTTGGTATTGTCTGTTCACTGAGTGCTCAGTGCTTTGTAAGGAGTGTGTAAAGTTATTTTTGTGGTATGTGAGTCACTGAGGGAAGAGTTGTGTTTGTGGATCTCAGAGGCACAGCTGGGAGATTGCTGCTTGCAGGGAACTTGAAATGTCATTTTCCTTGTCACCCATTTCTGGCCTTGCTGCGTGTCCAGTCCATTCTAACTGTATTTCCTCAGCACACCTGAATGCATTTCAAAGCAAACACCCCATCCTGCTTCAAGGGGAATTTCTGGTTTGCCTTTTTGCTGTGCAATGCACTCTAACAAATATAAGAACAGGGATGTTGAGAGCTGCTTTTCCCACCCGCTGCCATGGAGTGTGTGGAAAAAGAAAAGCCTTTTCCTTCATCGCCACCTAGCAATCCCCAACTCCAATTTGCTCTTTTCTTAGGGTAAGAAAAAAGGTAAAACCTGTTTTTAACTGTTCTTGCTTTATTCCTCCACCTCCTCAGTGTGCATTGAGGCTCCAGTAGGTGCCTGTCTGACCTGAGGAGCTGCAGCTGATAATTATCAGCTCAGAAATAATAATAATAGAGATTCCATTGAAAAATGGGATTATGCTGAGCACACAGACACAGCAGAGTGTGTCCCACCGCTACAGAGAGTATTTTTTCTCTCAGTTGCAGAGCTGGTCACTGTTTCAATAGCTGCTCTCTGCTGATGATCTTCATGGGGGAATTTCAGTTGTCTCCCATCTGTGGGGTGGATTCTCAGCCAGTGTTGCCCATTTTCCCCCTGGAAGATGTTGTGGAGTGCAGGCACCAAAGGAATTTGATTTTCTCAGGCTCTTCAGCACTGCCTGAGGCAGCAGCACGTGTGAGAGAGGAGAGGGTCAGGAAGGGCAGAGAAAAGGCACAGAAAAAAGCAGCTCCCTGTGTGTTTGTAATGCTCTAAAGCAGCTCAGTGCTTGTTCAAATGCTCCAAAACCCATATAAACTCACTGTCAAATCTGACATCACAGACCTGATATATCAAGAGTTTTCCCTACAAAAATCCAGGTGAATAATACAGAATTGCAAGGATTTACTTTTATATTAAGTGATGATTTACAGTTGTGCTTCACCTGCTCTTTTTGCTTCCTTGCTTTGCTTTTTGTGTGTTCTGAGGTTGCTGTGTGCAGACTGAATTTGCTTTCTGAGTAGAAGTGAGGCAGATCCCTGAGAGGTGAAGGCTCTTCCCTGCTCTGAGGGATAATCAGAATAAATCCCACGTCAATCCCACCCGAGCCTTTCCCGTTACCTCTAGAGGCTGCTGTTGTGTTAAATGAAAGTTCAGCGTGTTCCCAGCAGATCCCAGGGCTGGGATTCACTGCAGGAGCAGGGAAGGTGCAATCCCAGAGGAAATTCTGCAGACAGGGAGAGGCAGAGATGCCTCAGCTCGGCTCTGTGTTTGCAGATATCAGGAACTGATGACAAACAGCCTTTTTTACCAGCCCCTGATTCACTGATTATTGGTTTCAGTTCAGTGCAAGGTCTCTGAGAGTGATGAGCAGCAATGTGAATTGAGAATTTGCTGACAAGAACCAAGTACTTTACAGTGACCCTGTCAGCATTTGAGGTTAATGTCTGCTGTACTTGGCTTTGTTGAGCTGATACAATTTTCTGTCAAAGGAAGTTTTCCTAAGAATAGATTTAAGGTTTAAAATGCAATGTAAGGGATATGTTTACATTGATAATTTCCCCCCACTCTTTCACTAGGCACTGCCTTGTTTGCAGCATAGATATTTTAATTTAGAAGATATTTTAATTTAGAAGATATTATAATTTAGAAGATATTTTAATTTAGAAGTTCAAAAAGCGCTTGGTGTTTTGGTACACTTTATTATTATTTATTGTGAAGCATGCTCGTTATGCAACATTTGACAAGTCCAATCAGAGTTTGTACTGAAATGCTGAAAGCCATTCACCTAACAAGGATCATTACTGCCTCAAAACCTGCACGCCAGTGACTGCTGGTCTAATAAAGGAGAATTAACTCCTTTATTAGTGTCTGGACAGCACTCCTGAGTAGTCAGTGGTTTCTGGACAGCACCCAACCTTGTTTTTTCAAACAGCTTGAAGAAATCTGTAACATTGAATATAGAAAATTTAAATTAGACTGGGAATTGTAATGCCCATGTGCACCCCTGTCTTGTAGAACACTGCTCTAAAGGAGTTTAATGTTTTCTTCCTCATCACCTGCACCTCCCACAAAAATCTAAGTATTTTAAAGTGAAAAAATCAAATATTTATCTTCTTGTCCTTCCCAAGCACCCAATAAATGTGTTGCATTCCTGTGAATTCAGGGATGATCTTTATGTTATAAACTGAACAAATCAAAATATTGTCCCCAAAACTGGTGAGGAACTTGCATTTCATGCTGAAGGAACGGGCCTCTTTTTTTAATGTTGTAGGTGTGGGTTTTTATTGTTGTTTATATCTTAGAGGGCTCAGATTTCTCTTGCTGGCTTTATTAGAGGGCTGTTTTAATTTGAGGGATTGGTGTAGAATATCTCTGAGTATGCACAATATGCAAACCTTCTCATGCCTTGCTTAAAAATCACCATACACTACCCTTTATTAAAGATGTTGCTCTTTTTAGAAAACAGCATGGGCTGCTTTGGTCTGTGTGGTTGCAACTTTTGCAAAACAACTGCAACTTTTTATTCAAGAAATGTACTGTTACCTCAGCATTGTGCATCTGGAGTGGGGAGATACTTTTTTTATGTCCTTGGCAATCTTCCTCAGAATGTTCAGCAGACACCAGCAGTAAATTTAAGCTACCTGTTCTTACTGAAATACCCAGAGCATTCAGGCAGTGACTCTCAAAATGCCATCACAAAGTGTCACTCTGGGAGTTGCTTCTGTCTTGTCATCCCTTCCCCTTCCTGAGGGGAGAAGTTCTTGTCATCTTGTCATCTCCTTCCTGAGGGGAAAAGTTCTCAGGGTGGAAATTCAAGTTTTTTACTGGTGTGCACCATAGAGATTCCCCATCCCAGATGGGCAGGGATGAGCTGTGCTCCAAGCTGGAGAGGGCAGAGGGAAAATTAGGATTCCATTAGCTTTTTTAATTTCTCTTTTTGTATCAGCCAGGTGCTGATAAGCCATAGGGAACGTGAGCTGATGCCCATCGGGTTGGCACACGCTGCCACCTGCCCAGATGTTTGTTGTGCCAGGATGAGTGGCACACATCTGTCTGAGAGCTCTGGCTGCAGAAAGGCAACACATCCCGGGATGGAAGAGCTGCAGAAGGACAGCACATCCCGGGATGGGAGAGCTGCAGAAAGGCAACACATCCCGGGATGGAAGAGCTGCAGAAGGACAGCACATCCCCAAATGAGAGAGCTTCAGCAGCACCAGCCTCCACCGCCTCTGTCACCTCAGCCGGAGCTTCGGCAGCTGCTAAAGTTCCAGATCCCGGAATGTTTAACCACTAATAGCCCTTAAAAAATCCGATCTGGTGGTGCCCTTATGGAACTGTAGCAATGTGTGCGATGCCTGTTTATATGGAGAGACAGAGAAACCTTTTAAAAGTATTTATATATAAACTATACACACGGCGCAATGGCCATTGCCTCACGCCTTTTATTTTGTCTCTCTCATTCCTGTGATTCCATGTGTCATTCCTGCCATGCCAGGCCGTGATTCCATGGCTGCTGTTGCTGTAGCAGCGCATTGCTGCTCGCTGTGAGGCGCTGAGGCCGCGCCGGGGAGCGCACAGAGGCAGGCTTGGTTTCAAACAGCAGCCTCAGCACCCGCCCGTGCCCGGAGGAGGCCCCTCAGCGCCGCTTCCTCCCCTCGCCGCCGCCTCCTCCTCCTGCTGCCGCCGCTGCTTCCTGTGCGAGCGGCTCTGACGCGGCCCTGCCCTCCCTCCTTCCCCCGTCCCCTCCTTCCCCCGCTCCCCGCCGGGCCCTGCCGAGCACAAAGCACCCGCGGCCGGCCGGCGGCGCCTGCGCGGGGCGGGCCGGGCTCTGAGGGCAGCGGGCTCGGAGCGGGGCCCGGCGGGCAGTGCCGGCCACTGCCGCTGTCAGCGCCGGCGCTCGCAGCAGGCTGCGCCCTCCTCCCTGCCTGCCCTGCCCCGCCGCCTCCGCTTTGCTTTTGCGCTCTTATTTTTAATTATTATCATTTTTTAAAAAAACTTGGAAGAAGCCCCCGCGCTGCTCTCTCGCTCCCCCCCGGCCCGCAGCGCGTTCCCCGGGCTGTCGGAGCCCGCTCCCCCTTCCCGACCCGCTCCAGGCTGGGCCTCTGCTGGGCTTTGGAAGCCGGGAGCGCCTCGGCACCGTCTGCCTCCCCCTCCCGGAGCCGCTCGTCTCCGCCAGCCCGATAAATGCTGTTTATGAGGATGGACCTGTTGAACTACCAGTACTTGGACAAGATGAACAACAATATCGGCATCCTGTGCTACGAAGGTAACAGCGCCTGGCCGCGGGAAATCAATGGTGCCTTCTCACGGGGAGGGGACGGATCCCTCGATCCCTCGCACGGGGAGGGATGGATCCCTCGATCTCTCGATCCCTCGCACGGGGAGGGATGGGTCCCTTCCAGAGGTGGATCCCTTCCAGAGATGGATCCTTGTCCGAGCCGTGCTCGCAGTTGTTTGTCAGCGGGGATGTTTTTGGAGACCGCCGGTGCGGGACGCCCCGCGGGTTGTTGTCAGAGCTTTGTTACAGGGGCAGGGATTTCTTTCTTTCTTTGTGATTTTTTTTCTGTTCTTTTTTAATTTTTTCTCCCCACAATCCGCGTTTTCAGCGCCAAGTTTCCTTTCCCTCTCCCTGCTGGCGCTAAAGGCGGGGGTTTGTCCGTCTGGGGTTTGTCGGTCTGGGGTTTGTCGGTCTGTCCCGGCGCCGCGGGGCTGGGCCGCGGCCGGACACGCGTGGGCCCGGCCGGGGCCGAATGGCCGGCGTGTCTCCACCGTGTCCCCGCGGGGTTGTGGCCATTGCCCGGCGTGTCCCCGAGTGTCCGGCGTGTCCCCCGTGGCCGGGTGTCCCCCGTGGCCATTGCCCCGGGCCCGCTGTGTCCGGCGGGGCCGGGGCTCGCTGCCCTGCCCCGGTCTCCCCTCAGAGCCCCGCTGGTACCCGGGCAGGATCGCCCCGTTCGTGTGCGCCGGGTTCTGTACGTGCGGCTGCGAGGAGCGGCTATGGCTTGGCTGTGCCTGCACAGAAAGGCACCACTGAGCTAATTCGGCTTGGCAGCGGCGCTGCTTTTGCTCTAGCCGCACACCAGCGCCGCGAAAAGCTGCTTGCTTTTTTTTTTTTCCTTCCTGATTCAGCTTTCCATGTTCGTTCAGAAAATAAACGTGCTGGGGTTGTCAGGGAAGAAACAATGAGGAGAGTACACAGGCCAAGGGGATATCTCTGCTCAGGAAAAGGCCAGGCCAGAAGGCAGGCAGCTGAATCTCACTTTGGAAATTACACTCCCGTCTATCCCTAAACCAGCATGGCCACTTTTCTTCCCTTCAGGAAGTGGAGAGGCTCCCTCTTGTACTTTTAATGTCTTTGTTTCTCCTTTTTTCCTGCTTTTTCTTTCCTGCACAAATATTAATTCGGATTAAGCTCTTTTACAGAAGGTTGAGCTGAAAAATACAGAGCTGAAGTTCCATGATGTTGAATTCCCAACTTCTTTCTTATGCCATGCTTTCTTTGTTAGAGCAAGAAAACCCTTTTAAAATAATAAAAAAACCTTTCAGGATCCTTAAACTTTTTCATTTCAGGGTCCTATAACTTGTTCACTGCTCTCTGCAGTAATTAGTGTTTTCTTTGGAAGCCATTGGTAACTTCTGATGAAGACCATGAAATTTTATGCAAAGTTTTATTTACATAATACATCTTTCTGAGCTAACACATCTTTCTGAGAGCTCTGTTCACTAAGCCTTGTTGCTCTGTAGTTTTAGCTCATTAGTTCAATTCATTGTAATTATGCCTAATATTTATGGAATATTCTTTCCAGTCCCCTTTTTATTCCCCACCCCCTTCTCCAGTAATTGTTATTTAACCAGATCTTAGCTTTAATAGTTCAAAAGAGCTTAAGGAATACACTCCACTGGAGCAGTTTTTGTTTAGGTTAACCATCTGTTGCTGTTTTCCTCATTCTGGAAGTTAACATTTTTAACACTAAAATAAACACGCACAAAATGAAGAGAAGAAAAGCAAAACTTCAGTGGTGTTTATAGCGAGGTGTTTATATCCCGAGGGTTTAAAAAGTGTAAACACTGGCAACATCTGCTCTGAACTCAAAGGGTGTTTCAGAGATGCCTATAGATCCTCCTGGCCTCTGCCATGGGGTTTATTTTAGAAGTGAGTTGTGTCAGCAGTGATGGATTTGTCTTTCCAGGGACGCTGTTGCAGTAGGAACTGCATTGACAACAAAACGCCCTCTCACACTCAGTTAATTAGGATTTACTGAAGGCCACACTTGAGCTACTTATAAATTGATGCCTTCCTGAAAAGTGCTTCTGAAGATGCAGGATAAGATAAAAATAGGTTTGAAATTTCAGAGGGAAGAGTGATGGGCCCACAGGCCACAGGAAATAGGTGGGCTCCTTGTTCCTTTAGAGTCCCTCTGGAAACATTTGGTTATGGTTTTTGGGATGATTTCTATGCTGGTGAGCTATGCCAGCATGTTTGATGCAGTTTACTGGTGATTTTACTCCTCTGGCACTGGAACTGCTGGATTTGCAACAGCCTGTGCATCAGAGATGTGTTGATACCCAAGAAATAGGAAAAGTTCCTCCAGTGTGTGCATTGGCAGCCCTTCAGTTCACCATGGAGCACAGGAGTGTGATTTGCATCCTGAGAGGAGTCCTGCTTTTCCTTGCCCAGCCAGAGTCCCAGATAGCAATTTGTTATCTGTGAGCTGCAGGCTGCTGAGTTAATGCCAGCCCTGGAACCTCCCAACAACCTCAGCTGTGCCTCCATCTCACCCCGCTCCTAAATTGTGCCATCCGTGGTCACACTCCAGCCACGGAGCTCCCAGCATGGAAATATTGGGCTGCTAAATTCATTCAACATCTCTGACTTTGGAAACTGCTGCTGTTTAGTTCATCCAACACACCTCTGATTTTGGAAACTGGTTCATTAATCATGATGTTTAGTTCATTAATCACATCTCTGATTTTGTGAGAAGAGAAGCAATGGTGGTAACACAGATGGGATCAGCCTTGTGGGCAGCAGATTGTGCTTCTGCTGGGGCTGGGCTGGGAGTGGGAGAGCTGGAAGTTCTCCCTTTAGCTGTCCAACAGTGAGGCTGTGCTGCAGGTGAAACCTCACCTGGGCTTGGCTGTTTTCTCAGACATGAGTTGATTTCTTTTAGTTTTTGTTGTGAGGTTGGTGAGGCACAGGTTCTCCAGAGAGGCTGTGGAGTCTCCACCTTTGGAGATACTCAAATCCCACCTGAGCATCCCACCCTGCCTGAGGTTTTGAGCAGGAGGTTTCTAAATGACCTCTAAAGGTGCCTTTGTAGCCTCTTGGAAATCTCTGCACACACATGCAATTAAAACAGCCAGGAAAAGGATGATAACCAGAAATGAGTGTAGTTTTAGAAAAGGGGTCCATAACTCTGAAGCACAGCATAAAGCCATTTCCTTTCCTCAAGGTTGTTTAACACTGATTATTTGTGTCCTTGGAGGGTTTTCTTAATCTCATTACTACCTTTGAGCCCCAATGATGCCCCATGGTAATCTCAAATCCAACTGAGGCTTTTGGAGGAAAAAATGAATGTTAATGAGTTGGGGTTCTTTTAACAAATTGCATAAAAAAGACATTTGAAAGAAAATTTTTAAATCATTCAAATGGGAATGCTTGGAAAAGGACAGTTATATTGGTGATGATCAACCATTTCAAGCAATTGATTGTAACAGTTTTGGTGCAAAGAAGCAATAATTTGGGAACTGTTGCCTTGGCACCTGGACGTGAATACATCTGATATTCCTCTCCCCAGCATTTGCTGCCAGTCCCCAGCGATGGGCAGTTCAATGAGCGGCGCTTTCAGAGGATTGTTCTGTTCCCAACGAGCTCAGGCCGTGGGGAAGCTGCCGGGAGCAGCACTCTGAGGCAGGCTGGCACTCCCCATGCAGTGACAGGGGTTGAGGGCTGCGACATCTGCACCTCGTTCCGTGCTGGAAACTCGCTGAGCCGCAGCTCCGTGTGCCTTCAGAGCCGCTGCTGAGGCAATGGAGTGCTCAGAGTGACACAAAGCAGAGCGCAGGTGATGCTGCTCCGTGACTCCGGGGCTGCTCTCCTGCTTTCCCACGGAATGTGCATGAGGAGGAGCGGTCTCCAGGCAGATCCCTTTCCTTCTGGTGTTTGTCACAGATGGTGCTGGCTTGCAAGGCACATTTCTGCCTTCCTTCCTCTCCCTCTCCCTGGGTTATTGCTGCGTTCTCAGGGCTGCAACTGCTGTGCTGGGAAAGGTATAAAGAAATGCAATAAGATGCTAAGAAATCCCCCAAGCATGTTACTTATAGTTATGCAGAGTTCTCTGGATAGTCCAGAAGACTGGGATTTTTATTTTATTCTTTTTAATGAAGAAAATTGGATCCAGATTTTAGCAAAACACCCCTTTTGGGTTGCAGGACAGCTTTCATTAGTTAGTGGCATATTACATAATTATTACTGACTTCCTGTGAGGCTGAAGTTCCGTGGCTTGCAGAGCTGGGTGTCCTCTCAGGGCACTCAGGGCATCCTGAAAATGTCTGTGCCTGCCCCAAAAGGCACTTCAGATGTTTGCTGTCAGATCCTGCTCACTTCATTTGCTTCTTCATGAAATGCAACATGTTTGCTTAAGTTCTAAAAAAGAGTTTCCATCAGCTCTCTCTGCTGACCTTGCATTTTTCTCTTTCTCTACCATCAGTTTCTCCTATTAACTGCAAAGTTTGGGTTATTTTCTAAAGATGTAAAATGACTTGAGCACTATTCTTCTGCTGAGAATTGGATAAGAATCTCCTTCATGGCAAATTAGGTGTTCTTATTTGTAGCACAGTGTAAAATTTCTGTTCAAAGCCATGGAAATTAAGATGCACCTACAGAACAGCTCCCCATTTATAGAACATTCTCTGGGTTTTGCATTTTCAATCTCTTTCATCTTCAGGGAAAAAACAAAGAGCCCCAGGTTCACAGTTGGGCTTTTCTTGCTCATTTCCTCCTAGCATGAAGTTGGGAATATCCTCTTTAGGACTGACATCAAAATTCAGTTTATTTTCCCTCTCCATCAAAGGCAGGATAGATTTAGGTCATACTTGAACTTTTTTCTTCTTTTCCCCTGGAGTTCTGTTGTTCTCACCCTGGATGCTAGTTCAGCATTTGTACTGAGAACTCAAACAAGGAAATTAAAAACCCAAATATAATAGAGTGTTATCCCACAGCTTGCTGTAGATAAGATAGGCAGCATATTTTTTTTTCCTGAGATAAAAGGT